TTCAACAATGATTTAATTTCATTGTTGATCCGTTAACAATTGTTTAAATATTGCATTGTTGTAATGAAGTCACGAATGACGTCGATCGTCGTTTAGTCTTTTAATTAGTACAAAATTTAGATTTTTGAAAAATAAAATATATTTTATTTATGGAAGTTTAAATGACACGGATAACTTAATATAGATCCGTATTTATTGTTAATAGGTATCTGGGTTGTGTCAGACGTAGGCCTATCGTAAAGTTTATCGTGGAAGCGAAATATTAAAATGGTCGTTAAAATATTAAAAATACAACAATTTAATTATTGTTTTAGATGAATAAAAAATATCAGATATATTTTTGATGGAATAAAATTTTTTCCGTTCTCCTTGAGTAATCTGAAATGAATCTGAAGTTTGAATTTTATTAGTTTCAATTTTCTGCGTAAAATATATAGAAATCCTGGGCTGTCAGGCCTAATACAAGACGTATGGCATAAATTTATTTTCAATTATAAACTGTTTTTAAAGTTTTCATGACATCCTTGGAGTGGGGTACCGTGGGTGTCAGCCGCCCGGGGCGGAGGAAAATTTCGGCCCCCCTTATTTAGGTATTTCAATTTAAAAGACCAAAATTCAGTTTTGTCACAGAACAAGCAATGAAAAATTCGGTGGTAGTGCAGCGACCTGTTTAAAATAGTTCTATTGGATATTAGTGGTTTATATGAACGCGAATGAATCGTACAAGCAAAAAGAAAAAAAAAGGTCAACAGGTTTCGCAGGATTTCCTCGGATGAAAAAATTACTAGTTCACCCGGACGGCGAGCCGATTCCCGGACTGTCCGGACGATAGCACTATCGTAGGCGCGATACAAGTATAGATTAGGATGTTTCAAATTTTTACAAGATATTATTATTATTTATTGTGAAATTTTGCCGCTCCCTGAAAGATAAATTTTCCGCCCCCACTAAGGTACGCTACTGCATCCTTGTGAGGACCCGAAAACACTCGAAACAACGCGAAGTTATATAGGAATTTTATAAAATGATTACGTAAGATTGTTGGTATAAAGACGTAGAAATTTCGTGTTTATATTAAGAAATGTTCGATTTTTATAAGAGAAAAGAGAGTAATAATTATAAAAGGTGTTTATATGTACTGTACGGTATATTAAAGGACAAAGCAATAGAATTAACAACAACTTGGGAAGAGAAATCCACCAATCCTGGAACAGTATTATCGACAGGGGTGGAGGATTGACACATTTATAGAAGAAGCGTACTTAGAAATACGATAATGGTGCATGCAAAGGGATATGTTGTTTTAAAGAAAATGTTTTCACAACTTTTTGTTTTTAAATATGTATTTTTTAAAATTATCGATTTGTATATACAGGATCGGAGACATGATACGGATTTTTATGTTGTTATTTTTATATTTCGATGTTATTAGCGACAAAATAATGTAAGTTATTTTAATAGCATTATTGTATGGTGAATTATTATGGCATTATTGTAACCCTTTTTAAAAATCTTGTTTCTAGCACATGGCAGCGTAAACCTGCTGATGAGGGACCGAATGGTCCGAAACACAAAGTGTGTAAATTGTGTACAGGTAAATCAGGCCGACAATAAAGATTTTTCCTTTTTTCTCTGGCTACATTTCCTCATTTTGCAGGACTTGGACACCGGTATAATAAGTCCTATATAGTAATACGGTCTGTCCTAGTAGAAATTTTAAATAATAAAATTTAAATACAATAAATTGTTCGTTAAATATTTACATAGTTTTTTAGCACGGATAAATTATTTTTTTTATTAGAAATAAACTATTTCTTACGATCATCGTTTAACACGAAAAGTTAAAAATAAACCACGCCATCATCTCCGTATTAGCGTTAAGCAGAGTACGCAAAAATAATTATTCTTTAAAAATTTAATAATATACTAATACTTATAAGTAACGTAGAATTATTAATATATAGAATAAAAATAAATTTAATAAACCCGAAACAAAACGTCGAAATCTATGTTTATTATTATCGTCTGCAGTTATGTTTTGCGTCATCAGTTATGGTATTGTATTTAGATCATTGAAATTATAAGTTTATTTTTTAATGAAAAAATAACAATAACTTCATTTAAAATTAGGAACGATAAAGATATATTCAGAAAATGTACGGAAAAGACTATAAATTCTATTCTGTAGAATATATCATTAGGCTTAGATAGGATCTCAAGTTACAAATATTTTAGGTGAGTGCGGTAATGTTTTTATTTTTAAATAATATAAAATATAACGGATCCATGCCAATAATTGTTATAGAATATTCCTATATTCTACAATTTTTATATATTTTAATAGTTCTAGAATATATATACTTTCTATATATAAATTATAAATATATTCTAGAGTATATTTATAAATGATATATATTTAATAATTGTAGAACATATATATATACTCTAGAATTAATCTAGAATATATTTATAATTTATGTATAGAAAGTATATATTTATATATGTTCTATATATAATAATTTTAGAAGATATTCTTGAATATATATTATATATACATTCAAAGAAGAAGACAAAATACATATATTTTAGATGACATTTTAATATATATCTTTGGTACTTTTCTGTTAACAGAAAGCCAGTTCATATGTATAGCAATGGATAAGATTAGGGATTTCTCATTTCCCCAAAATTGTTGATTCTTCGCAATATATTTGCCTCCAAAGGTCCGTTTTTGACATGCATTGGTATACTGCCTATTATGTGTTTCGCATTTAGTTGTGCGCTTCGATACTCACTATCGCTTGCACCTTGGTGCCTGGGTGGGAACAATTCCCCATGCCTCTTAAAACTATATAACGAGTACTCTACAAATAGTCTGAGTTGGCTACTCGAAGCAGGCACGTGGTGGGCTGAATAGTTAAATGCGATGGTCTTAGAGGAGTGACGTAGACGATGGTATCGCACGTCACATTAAAGTTACGACTGGCATCCCATTAACAGAAAAGAACCGTATCCTTCTAGATTTATTATAATATATATATATATATATATCATATACTAAATTTATTATATATATATACACACACACACCATATCCTTCAATACATATACAATATACAATACAATACATATTGTCATCTTTAGTTTTCTGCTAGTTATAGCAGATCTGGTGAGCACCACCTCTTTTTCATGCTACTCTATCTTTCACTCTTGTCTTTAGCTCCTTATAACTACCCTCTCTTAAGTTATGCACCAGTTTAATTTTTCTTTTTTCTTGTTTCTGAATGCAACCATTCCTTCTGTAATGTAATTCCATAAGCCTTCCTTTTGAATTGTGTCTCACATCCGATTTAATTTTTGCCTCATCGTTGTCTCTAATATGCTCCTTTTTTCACCCACTACTCTAAGACCTCCTCATTTCTCACCTTATTGCTCTATCTGACTTTCTCCACAGCCACATTTCCAGATTTTATATATATTTTAGAATACCAAATTTTCTATAACAGTTATTAGCATTGATTATAATATATTTAAATTTATATTACAAATATTTCAGAATATAATTTAATTTACAACTTTTTCTATAATATAATTGTTTTATTTGAATTTTATATTGATCTGTTTGATGGAGTACTCAGGATTTAATCTTGGGAAGCCAAGTTGAATGGATAAGAGAAATTTTTAATGCAAATTTCATGGAATTTATTCTTATATGACAGCTAATTCATATGTAGAAATAGAAGACAACACACAATATAAATAAAAAAATGAAGTTTAATTAGGAAAAGATTTTAGGAAAATTTACTAGTATTTTTGTTTTTTATTTTTATTTTGGGGGATGCTAGGATTCTTGGTCCCCTCGGGGTGTATCACTGAATCTGTTAAATTACTTGGTAGAAGTTAGTTTTAGAACATTTGTTTATATTTATTATAATTGTTATATATTACAGAAATATAAACATATTGGCACAAGTTAACTAAAAATACTTTTACTAAACATTAGCAATTTATGAGTTAATTAGTTATTTTTTATGTTTTTGAAGTTGTTTAGAGTCATTTGAACTTCATTTATTTACTCTATTAATTAATAGAATTTGAGTTCTCATTAGTTAGGAAATTAGTTGATTTTTTGCTTTATTTTGATTTTGTTTTTGTTGAAATAATTAATTTGTAGCTGTAATCGAGTTCTTAAAAATATTTGGGTGAAGTTTAGATCATTTAATAGAAGAGATGGTTCTATTGTTAGGAGAATTAAATAATTGCTGAGATTTCATACATGCAAAAGTAGGTCTGTGCCAACAGATGAAGCAGAAACGCAACTGTCTCAGGCATTCAATTGGAATGATACAAAAAAAAAGTGTCATAATTTTTACAATATTGAAGATAAAATAAAAAATAAAATATATTTGAAGTTTTGGTGAATATCCATTCAGAATCATTAGATCACAATTAAAACTAGCAGAGTTGATTCTTTCCTTATAGGCAGAAAATCTGTCTAGAAAATCGACTCTGCTAGTGTTAATTGTGTTCTAATGTTTATGAATGGACATTCAGTAAGACTTCAAATATATTTTATCCTGAATTTTTAATCTTTATTTTACAAAGATGTCATAATGTTTACAGAAATATAAATATATTGGTACTGTTGTTTAGTTGCCTTGGGCATCAAAATTATTTGGAACAGTTCTTTGCGAGAATTTACTCAATTTAAATGAAATGAAAAATATATGCTAATTAACTGCTTTGTTTTTTAATTAATGTTATCTGGAATTTCTGATATATGAGTATGAAGCTTCACTGATGTTAAATTAATTCTGTTTAATAATAATAATCATAGAGGTAAATATAATAATGTGGCCAGAGAAAGTACTCAAATAGACAATTAAGTTAAAATGATTTTTTTGGAACAAAATGTATGTAAATCAGATACATTCAAGTGTTTTTGGATTTATAACATTCATCTATACTCCAGTCAATGATATATAATTTAATTTCCAAAAAAAGAACAAAAAAAATGTTTTAAAGGATATAGATTTTTAATGTCTATATACACAACTCACAATCTAGAATCTGAGTCGGAAGTTAGTTAATAAATGTTTACAAACTTATTAATTAGTTAACTGCTGACTCTGATCTTGATTTGGATTGTGAATACAAATGTAAATATTCTGAATTTTCATTGTAATTAAACTAAGTATACAATTAGATCTGTTTCACTTTTTATGCTTGACTGAGTCATTTATTTTGGCTTGGTTTACTTGTGATAGTAATAGTTATTTGTAACAATTAAAGTGAATTATAGTGAACAAATTGTAGCAACATAGATATTTATAATCATTACTGATTCATACATTTAATTCTTTGTACAGACAAAATTAAATTATATATGAAAAATAATTTGATATGCTAAAATGTAAACTGTATCATTAGTCAAATTATAATTATCAATACATTCTCTTACAAAGGTAATATGAAAACATTAAAAATTTCATGTTTTTAAAAATTTATACTTGTTTATATTACTATATATATAACTAAATGACAAATTTAATGAAAATTTTTTAAAATATTATATTCTTTATATCTAGATTTAAAGTATAGTCAATAAAATCAAATAGTAATAAAAATAAAAAATGTTTGTATATGTGTACAATATTGATTTCTAAGGAATTACATTGATTTCTAAGGAATTACATCAGTTACTATAATTTCTTTCCAACATCTATGATTTATTCATTTTAATAATAATTGTAATTTAATATTTAAATGAAAGTTGACAAATAACAAAATTTATGTAATATCTGCTTCATGTTTTATTATGCAGTCAGTAAAATAAATTATGCTAATTAGTAGTTTCAGTTCTAATTTAAACTAACATTGTACTTTGTCTAGTAAAATTAAATTTCTGTTAGACAAAGCAAACTTCATTTCTGTTGAGAAAGGCATCTTATCTAATAAATAGAAAGGCCATGACCATATAATTTAAAAAACAAAAGCTGTATACCATATTTTGAAAAGGAATTTAAAAATAGAAATTGCTTAATGTTTGGCAATAAATAGAAATAGAAAAATTGCCGATTGATAGATAACTTATTATTATTAGATCTTGAATTGTGTGCATTGCCAACTGAAATTTAAAGATTGGTTTCTTTAAAATAGTATCTGAATGTTCTTCAGAAATAAATTTCTACATTTTCTCAAAGCTCTATTCTTACACAATCTAAACATTAGTGCATTAAGATGGATAACATCTGACTGTTATACAGGGCAGTATATTACACATTTAAGCACTGAAGAAAATTCTAGTAACATTTGCCAACCTCTCTCTCTTCCCCCTGCATTTTTTTATTCTTTTAATTAAATGTTTAGTAGTTATCTTAAGGATAAAGGCAGCTGAAACATGGCACTGGTTATATCATTCTCTTCTCTCTTGTTGATGTTATGAATCAGTGACTCCATATGCCTGCTGACTAGCATAGAATAAAAATTCTTTTGATGTTTTTTTTATAAGATTACATTACATCTATATCTGAGTCTAAATATATAAAGAATTCCCATGAAGTAATAGATAATACTTTATTCCTTATTTTTATTCATTGTTTATCTCATTGTTGATTTGTATAAAACAAAAATCTTGAAGATTACCATTAGAGAAAAGACAATGTAGTTATATATCAATGATATTTTATTATAATGCTCTTTGGAAAATTACAAATTTGGACTGTTTGACTATATGGCCTTGATATTTCGATTTATTAAGTTAAATGCTTGTTCTGGCACAGATGCAATTTTACTGAATGTAAGATTGTATCCTTGAAATTTTTTTTGTATTTATTGAATTTTAATTTTAGTACAAAAGTGTGTGTATGTGTGTGAACAATTTTTTTCTACATTGATATCTTATTTATATTTTTATGTTATAGTATTCAGTCCACATTAAAAATATCTCAAATCAATTTTAGGTGCAAAAATTTTTTTATATAATGGTAAAATAGCATTTTGAATAGACCAACATCATATAACAACAATCTAACTCTGAAACATGTTGAAACCAAAAATATATAATTCTAAATGTCTTTGGAATATTTAAACATATTCCTCAACGAACCTATAACAAACAAAATATAATTTTTCAACAAAAATTTTGAAGAAATACAATATATATTTTTTTAATATTGAAAAATCTAGAGTTAAAAATTTGTAACACAAAATTTGCAACATTTCTGGGAAAGCAA